CGTGAGAATTTTCGATCTCTTATATTTATTATCTGTCTATATTTCTGAGATGAGGTATCATGTACATTATTTACATTATTCGGAATATTGTCCTCATCTTTCTTGCCATATTTATTACAACGTTTCGGCCGTTGTACGCTCCGGTCTTCTTCAGGTGGTTGTAATGCCGAACTGAACCCTTTGTTTTGCTCGCTGTGGTAGACTGTTCTAGTTCCATGGGCCATGTCTAATGGATGTCAGTTATCAGTTACCTCCTGTCAATTCACCTCTTCAAGTTCTCCACTGCCTTAACCGGGTATTGAACTCACACCTCTTTGGGTCCTGTCACTGGATCTAACCAACGCCTTTATCCACTGTGCCATGTGTCCGAAACGTTGTAATAAATATGGCAACAAAGATTAGGACAATAGTCCGAATAATTATAAATAGTGTTATATTCATAGTTATAGATTTTTCTAAATATTCCTAAGCCCAAAATTATTCGCCTCCTTTATGGAAATTATGAAATAATATTGCTCTATGGCAATTGTAATGTATTTTTTTTTTAATTTGACATTTAATACAAACACCCTTTGAAAATGAAATAGTATTGACTTAAGGAGGCACGGTGGATTTATAGATAGCGGCTCGGATTGAGTTGAATTCTAATCAAATCCATTACATTCAATTACGTACTAATACTTTTGGGAAAGGTATGAATCCTCTTCTTCTCTCCCCAGCTATGGCAGACCGGGTTCTATAGCCTTGGATGGCAACTGGTCTACCGCAGAAAGAAATGGCACCCTACTGCGGGAAAAATAATCTGCCTCCTCAGTCATATATCGAAAGATACATGATCGCCTAAGCGCGTATCACGCATGGCACATAACTGACTGAAATTCACTTACGTGCTAATACCCTTGGGAAAGGTATGAATCCTCTTCTTCTCCCCTAGCTATGGGTAAATAGCAGGACAGACCGGGATCTATAGCCTTCGATGGTTACTGGTCTACCGCAGAAAGAAATGGCAACCTACTGCGGAAAAAATAATCTGCCTCCTCAGTCAAGTATCGAAAGAGCAGTTCTGAAAATAGAACAAGACGAGATATTCCGAGACATCGATTACGCAGCGAGAACAATCTAACTCCGTAGGTTTCAGTACGAAACTCCCTGACGATTACCCTTATCTATAGGCATCTGAGAAAGCATCACACTACATCGATCGATATGTTATGATAGTAACAACAAAGATGAGGATATTAGTCCTATTGTAAATAATATAAGTAAGGATCGCGTTTCGTGTCAGACATCCAGAAATCGTTTTTTTTGTTTTTTTTTTACTTCTGTCTTCAAATTGGTAAATTGATTTATAATGATCACATAGTACGCTAAGTATGATGCAAGTTTAGTGAGAACATTTTTTGCTCATTGATCACCCAATATAATGCACAAGAGCCACTCAAGACAGAGCATTCCTGAATGTGCCTGTTGTATTAGCATAAGAGGAGGAGGTAAGAATTGCAGATTATGAAGATATATACGAAAGATATCGGTTGACACTAGATTTTGAAGAGTTTAAGATTGTAGCGATCAGGGAAGCATCCACTCAGAAGTTTGTTCCATAAAGTATCTTTTCTTGGGAAGAATTTTTCTGAATGGAACTTCTTCCTTACTAGCGGAATATGAAGGGAATGTGAATGATGTACTTGGCATTGCCGGTCTTAGTTGTGAAGGTCTGAACTGGCAGAATTAAGGAATGTAGCACGTTTTAAAATTTGTCATGGAAATAGCGATTGAGTAGCAAGAAAGTAGTACTGCTTCGTCTTTGAGAAAGCAGTGGTAGAATGGAAAATATTTAATTAAAATTGTAATGCCTTCTGGAAATTTTCTTAATTTGGCCAGGTTTAAGCCACGTAATAGAAGACAGCTTTTCATTAAAATGATGGAAGTATTTAATATCCAAAAGGCTTACATTTTATTTTGCTTTACTAATTGATCACCCATTCCAAAGCGCAAGAGCAACTCAAGGCAGAGGTTGGCTAAATGAGGTTGTTGTATGGACGGAGGAGGTAAGAGGTTCAGATTATGAAGATATGTAAAAAAAAAAGATAAAGGGTTTATTCTATGTTTGAAGAAGTTAAGATTGTTATTTTCGAGTAAGCATCGTCAAGAGAGTCTATTCCATAAGCTAGCTATTCTTGGGAAGAAGCTGTCCGAATGTCATTAAGTTCATATTAATAAAATACAAAGGGCATAAGGATGACTGTTCCAGTGTACGTGGCATAGCGAGTCTTAACCTTAAAGTTCTGAACTGATGGAACTAATGAATGTAGCTCGTTAGAACATTTTCCATGGAAATAGCGCTAGAATAGCGAGAGTTTTGTGACTTTTCGTCTGCGTGAAACGGGCGTGGAAAATAATTAATGAGCAGCAAGTTTTCGTAGACAGTTTTGAACTCTAAAATAGAAAGTGAGGACTGGGTAGCGCCAGCCCTGCGTCGTAGCACTTTCCCATTTTTGGTCACAATTGTTGGAGTTTCTATTAACAAGAGGAAGAAACTAAACCTCATGATCGTCTGCCATTAAAAATAAAATAAAAAAAAGAACGGTCCAGTCGATTCCATATTTTTTCCCACCCTCTCATCTTTCTTTCGGCAATGGCGTCCGTTTTTTCTTCTTTACATTGCTAACGTCGTATGGTGCCAATGATGGTCGCGGTTCCGTGTAAGCGACACGAAATCAATCAAGCTGATATCGAATCCATTCTTAAATAGACTTTTTTTTTGTCTGTCCAGTAGTGACGGACGTTATTCGTCCGTTGAAGGAGATGTCTCGGCCCTGGGGTTCCCAAATCAGGAAACGAAGCTAGACAACGATGTGTGGAGATGAGGCGGCAGGTGATTAGGAGATAAAGGCAAGCAGGATGCAAACATCCAGTATCTCCCTCCCACACACCATCTGCATATACTAATTCATTTTACTTTTTTTTTTCTTTTCATTTTTCTTCTTTTCTTTGCCACATGGTGATTGAAAAGTAACTTCCTATTTTATGTATCATGGACTCTCCCGTCTAACTACAATTTTTATAAGACGGGAGAGTCCATATACATAAAATAGGAAGTTACTTTTCAGTAATTTTTGTGGCCTTTTCAACTATTTTTTTCGTTTTTTTCTTTTTTTTTTTTCCGAATTTTGATTACCTTCTTTCTTTCCTTCTTTTTTTTCATTATATTTCTTTAATTCTTTTTATATTTATTTTTCCGAGTCTTTTATTCGTGATTTCTTTCTTTCTTTCTTTCTTTCTTTCTTTCTTTCTTTCTTTCTTTCTTTCTTTCTTTCTTTCTTTCTTCCTTCCTTTTTTCTTTCTTTCTTTCTTTCTTTCTTTCTTTGAAAATATTTAATTACTTTTTTCTGTGCGACCTTTCTATCTTTCCATTTTTAATGCTCTTTCTTTGCTCATCATTTTTTGACTTTTTTCATTTGGATTCGTTCTTTTATTCAATTTTCTTTCTTTGTTTACTTTTTTAATTCTTTGATAATCTGTCTTTCTTATTCTTTCTTTCTTTTTTTACTCTTTCTTTCTTATGCTTTCTCTCGATCTCTCTCTTTCTTTCTTTCGTTGATTACCTTCACTTCTTTCTTTCCTTCTTTTTGTTTTTCTTTCTTATGTTTCAATCACATTTCTTTTTCTTACATTTTATCTTTGATCAACATTCTTTCTTTCTTTTTACTTCGATCTTTCATTCATTCAATCTATGAGTATATTTCTGATTCTTTTTCTCTTTCTTTCTTTTTTCCATTTTTCTCTTGTTTTGATAATCTTTCTTTAATATACTTTCTTTCGGTTTCTCTTTCTTTGTTTCTCCCTTTAATTAACTTTATTTTCTTCTTTCTTTTTCTTTCTTATGTTCTGATCGCCTTTCTTTCTCTCATATACTTGGAGCTTTCTGATTCTTTCTTTTCCTCTTTGTTTTTTGTTTCTTTTTCTTTCTTTCTCATGCTTTCATAATCTTCTTTCTTTTCTTTTCTTTTCTTTCTTTTTTATGCTTTTATTATATTTTTCTCATGTTATCTTTCTTTCTTTCTTTCTTTCTTTCTTTATTACAGTTTTTTCTTTGTCTTTCTTATGCTTTGATCATCATTCTTTCTTTCTTTTACTTTGATGTTTCATTCATTCATTTAAACATTCTTTCTTTCTTTAATTATATTTCTGATTCCTTCCCTCGGCCTGTGTGTCTTTCTTTTTTCTTTCTTTCACATGCTTTCATCGTCTTTCTTTCTTTCTTTCTTTCTTTCTTTCTTTCTTTCAGGTGGCCTGCTTTTCTATTTCGACCCTACGGCAACAACATCGCAGCCATTTTTCTTAATCAGTTTTACATTTACTGAGCAGCGGTTGGTGCGTCACTTGCCTAACATAAAGCTTCTGTCGCGCAGAGTGATTAACTCATTGGTGAGACAACAACACCGGGGGTCGCGAAATAACCAAGTTCCAAATAATAGTCTATGCGAAATTTCAAAATGTAGCAATTTTGTTTTTACACAACAAGATTTAGAATGCACATCTAGCAAATCTAGTAATCCAGTTGTACGTAGAACGTTTGCGCATGTATTTGAAGCTTATTAGCGCCTTTCGCAGGGTAAACTGCTAACCAGCTAGTTACGAACAGGTTTCCAGCGTCTTGATCAATCTCTGATGATCAAATCTATCTTCCGTCTTCCACGTGCCAGAACTGTTTGTAACAACTGGGGAAGGGCCAAGGTGGGTCTATGAAGCTTTAAAAATAGACACTGAGCTCGTCAGACTTGGTTGACAGTCCACCTAAGGACTCCGAATCAGTGAGGGCATCAAGCCGTATTTTCTACGCCTTTTTTTTCGTCTCTTAGCCTATTCCATAGCTAGGCATCCTTGCAAAGCAGCAGAAATCTACTCACCGTACTAGTATGATATGGGATATGAACTCAGATGTAAAGGGGTGGGGACCAGCCTTCACATTTTGTACAGAATCGCATTACGGTCATGACTAACACCGGTTCCCGTACGGTCAAAGCAGTTAAGCAACGTCGAGCCTGTTCAGTACCTAGATGGGTGACCGCTTTGGAATAACAGATTCTGTAAACTATCCAAGTTTATAGAATCTGGCTTGCGGGTGGTGCAACGGATGATGGTCGGAGAGCCGAGTTCCAGTTGAATTCGTTATATTCACTTACCCGCAAATTTTGGTCCGAGCCTACGGGCTCGGTTTAACCCCGAATTAAAAAACGGCCTTGTGCCACATCCTGCCTCGCGGGGAGGTAAGGTAAATAACCTTGCTTCGGGAATTACTAGCCTGCCACCCGATTCCCTGTCGTTCAGTAGTGTATTCTCTTTTACAATAAACCTCTCTTTCTTTCATTTACGTCCGTGTTGCTGTTCCTTCACTCAAGTGCCCCCTTTGTCTGTTTGTAACATCTTTAAGGATACAACAGTTTAAAAACTATCTGAAAACAGTAGACGATATTAGGAAGGCCAGAGCGACCTCAATTTTTTTAAATCTACAGAATAAGAAATGGTGAAATCAACAAGGAAGATTCGAGCTGCACGAATTGATTTGATAATTGAAATATTAACACGCTAAACAATATGGGAAATGTCGGGGATCGTGCTAAATGAAAAGCGGTAATCAAAAACATTTAAAATATTATACCGTCAGAATGATTTACAAACGAATGAAAATTCCACGTTGAAAAACTCTCAAAAATACATTTTACTTGATCACATGAAACGGTTTATATTCCAAAGAAATCTCGTGGATAGACTAGATGTATTCGTATTTTTGCCCTCGTCGAGGTTTACAATAATAGTAACAGCTTTATGCCGTGACTGATTGTGCTGATGAAATACTGAGAAATCAGTGAAACTCCAAATAACGAACAGAGTTTTATCTGAAAAATTGTCTAAATATTCCAAGCGAAAAAAAGGTAAACCGTTTAATTTAGGAAGATTTTAGAGAAAATACTTGAAGCAACAAAGCTGTCTTTCTACCGACGAAATTTTATGTGGCACCGAAAGCCGAAGGAGGATTGGAATGACAAAAGGTGCCTACCAAAACCTAAGCAAAATATTAAGAAACATGAAAAAATTTGCTAGAAATATTAACAAGGATGCTGAACTACTATGCAATATCGAACCTTGTACATGGAAGTGAATTTTGGACGACTTCCTCAGAGCTGAAGAGAAAATTTGAAGGAACAGATATTTGGTTCTACAGTAGGAAGTTGAGGATGCAATGGCCGCAACATGTGATTAAAGAGGAAGATTTTTAAAAAGTAGGGGCAAAAAGAACAAGTATACGGTAAATCAGAAATAGAGAGTTGAATTTTACAGGGCACGTTATGAGAAAAATAGTTCTGGAAACGTCGACACCCACATATTGAAGGGGCAAGAATGGTAAGAGAAAGCAGTGAGTAAACTACATAATGAGACTGTGAAAATGGTTAGTAGAACAGGGAGTGGAGGGATAGTAAAAATACAAGCACCGTTAAAAGCCACAAAGGATGGGAAGTCGTGGAGTGTCATGATAGTTTGCATCCTAAAGGGACAAAGTACATAGTAGAAGGGAGCATATGGCATGAAGATCAAAGGAGAACAGCAATTTTAATATAACTTCTGCTAACAGTCATCTGAAATTATTGAGACATATAATGGGGAAAGTAGATTTGGAGAATGTAGCACTCGCAAGAGCATTAAAAGACAAGAGAAAGAAATGAAGCAAAAACTAACCTGCTGCATAAATGGATATCAGAACAAGTGCCGATATAACAAAAAGGGGCCATAAAAACAAATACTGTTGCCATATATGGTCTGGTGCTCCTGCTGTTCATCTCGTTCTCGTAAAGATCTCGTCAGATCTGCAATGTGACCGTCCCTAACTTGGCGCCTCGACACCAGTTACTTTCTCACAGACGTGATGTGGCTTCCCTCTGTCTTTTCTGCAAATATTTTCATAGCAACTTCTCTGACGAGCTATTTTCTCTGGTGTCCCATCTGCATGAATTTAAGCGTGCTACTAGTTTGGCATCTCGGTACCAACCTTTTACTGTCTAAACTCCCTTCCTCTTACTTGCTTCCCCGATAACTACAATCTTCAAAAATTTAAATGTAATGTCAACCGACATTTTTTGATGCCTTGATCCCTGTTCTTCTTTTTATCCTTTTATCACCCCACTACCCAGTCTTTTCTCTTACCTTCATTCTCTGTAACCCGTTGCGCAGTAGTAGCACTCCCGCCTTGCTTGGGGTGAAATGCTGAAAAAAAAAAGAAAAAAAAAAAGAAAAAGAAAAAAGGAATGTGTTGCAGGAAAAGAGAGGGAATAATGGAAATTTATTATTGCCCCAAGTCTCGAAAAGACATCGCAAATGGAGGGAGATTTATGAGGACGAAATTCGAAATCGCGTCGACAATTTTATATACGAAAGCGTATTTGGTTAGGAATAATATCAGCCATACACACATCGCAGTATTTTCATTTACAGATTGGTTATTAAGCAGAATACAAAGAGATTTTAACTGGTGACTTCGCTATTGTTTGCTTACGCCAGATTGAGTAAAGCTAAATAAACAGCGAAGGCAGCGTGCCTCGTACGGATGATTGGAAATGTAGAATTATGATATTAATGATTTCATCGTTCACTTGAAGCATTAAGATGGCGATTAATTTCAGTGGTACTTAGAATTGTGTGGCACGAGGCCACCAAACTAAAAATATACAATCGAAGTAGAACTTGTAAAAAATAGTAATGATTTCATATACTACCTTCTCCTCTAGATCGAAGCAAACTTCCGGTCACCGGGTTATCCATGTATGGCACAAGACCATGATTGTAGAGAACGGAGTGAAGATAGAATTCAATTTTTCTTTCATAATACACGTTCTTTTCGGGATTTACTCCACAACTTCCCATCTTTTGCAGATCTAACTCATATATCTTTATCATCCATTCTTCTATAGTCCTTGCTCCGCTATCAAATCACTGAAAATCGTGCCATAATTTAAGTTTGAACTTTAAAGGATTTGGAATGAAATTTTGACAAGATTTATAAATTATTTTATTTAATAAGCTTACTGATGACAGAACTAAACTTAATATCATCATGCGAGTTCATGGTTGCGTGGGAATGTGTGTGTGTGTGTGTGTATGTGTGTGTGTGCTTAATTGTGAAGCTCTTCTTAGCCGAGCATTTAAACACGTTGGGTTAGACTGCCCTTCCTCCTGCAAATGGGGACGCAGGTTCGAATCCTGTTGGAGGGCATATTTATTTTTAATAAGTTCTTCCTGGTAAGTAAGCCTGTAAACGCATTAAATACCGTTTAAAATAAATGAGTCGTCTACACGCGCGCACACACACACACACACACACACACACACACACACACACACACACACACACACACACACACATATATATATATGATTACTACATCCGTCAGTAAGGTGATCGGAGGTGCATCTACCTCTTAATTGCCGTTCTTCCCAGGTTCAATATGACCCGGAGTGGTAGGATCTGTTAGGGTCACAGCTATGATCAAACCATCTACACTTTTCTGAAGAACTAATACGGAAGAACTGGTATAGCTCTCTTCGGATTTATTCAGATTTATTCTTCTTGTAGACTTGTTGGCAAGCAAGTTTTTTTCTTTTTCTCAATATTTAAAAGTGAAGCATTTCTCAGTCAGTTAAGTGCCATACATGTTACACGACTGGGCAATCATTTAATTTCCCAAACAAAAACAAAATCCTATGAAAGAAGAGAAACACCAGGAGGACATTTTTATATAAAAAAAATTACCGACAATGCATTTATCGCAAAATGACCGACAATACATTTTATCTGTAGTTGAAGGCATACAATTGCGTTCAATGTATATTTAGTTAAAGCCGTGAAATAGTGTTCAAAATATTTATGTTTTGGCATTAAATAACCCATAGAGGTGTTGATATGCCGCTAAAAAATAAAACAAAACAAGTAAATATATAGTTATTGAATCTTCTGGTGATTATGACGTATGACCGGCTAATAATTTAATTGCAAGATATGATTTGCTTTTCAGAAGAACTAATTCTTTCTGTAGAATTGTTAGCTAGCAAATTTTTCCTGATATTTAAAAGAGGTGAAGGATTCATCAGTCATGGAGAGTCATGATAGTCTGCATCGTAAAGGGACAAAGTACATAGTAGAAGGGAGCATATGGCATGGAGATCAAAGGAGAAGAGCAATTTCTCTGGTGTCCCGTCCGCATGAATTTAAGCGTGCTACGAGGTTGGCATCTTGGTACCAACCTTTTACTGTATGCGAGTTCATGGTTGCGTGGGCATATGTGTGTGTGTGTGTGTGTGTGTGTGTGTGGTTGCGTGGGCATGTGTGTATGTGTGTGTGTGTGTGTGTTTGTGCTTAATTGTGAAGCTCTTCTTAGCCGAGCATTTAAACACGTTGGGTTAGACTGCCCTTCCTCCTGCAAATGGGGACGCAGGTTCGAATCCTGTTGGAGGGCATATTTATTTTTAATAAGTTCTTCCTGGTAAAATGTCATACGTGTTACACAACTGGGCGATCATTAATCTGACGTGGCCGAATTTTTCCCGTAGTAGGTTGCCATTATTTTCCGTGCTAGACTGGTTGCCAACTAAGGCCAACCAAGACTAAAGAACCCAGTCTGTCCAGCTATTCAACTGGGAGAGAGAGAGAGAGAAAGAGAGAGAGAGAGAGAGAGAGAGAGAAAGAGAGAGAGAGAAAGAGAGAGAGAAAGAGAGAGAGAGAAAGAGAGAGAGAGAGATGGATACATACATTTCCCAAGGTTATTTGTGCGTAAGTGAATCTAACGAATTCGACTGGAATTCGAACTCGGATAGGTACTGACTAGGCTTCACTGATCGTACGAGAATCCGCGTTTCAGCGCTAATATGACCGTAAGCTAAGGGTGTGTGTGTGTATGGGTATGTGTTGTGCATGTGTCGGGTGTGAAATATATATTTGTACTGACGCGCACAATATTTTTAATAAATGCTGCGTTCAGGCGCATAAATTTCTCTCTCTCCCTGTGCGTAATTCAACCATCCATCGTAAGGATGCACTCG